AGGTGTGACAATGTATTTTTTCCGCATACATACTTTATGAATTTCAACATTATCTAAGAAGTAATCATCCAGTTTTTTAAAAAGTATCTGTAATGTGTTTTTTAAATCAGATTACATGTAATCAGTTACTCCCCAACCCTGATTACTCTGATAAAGGAAATTTGATTTTTTCACTAAATAGAGGTATAAAAGACAAAAGGAAATGAAGGAAATGCAGAAACTGTTTTCGATTGAGGTTTGATTGAACAGTATTAAACAATCAGAGCGAAAGACCAATTAAACCACATTTACGGCTTCTGCATGCTTCGGTTCGGCTGCCACCTAGCCGGACTAGTGTGCTCGGATATTCTTTAAAGTCTCACTGCCTCCTTCTCACAAATGATCCCAAAAATATAAAAATTAAATAAAGTTGGTTCAACACAGTGGCGGGTCATTTTGACCCTAGGACAACGGGAGGGTTAAAATACCTTCGCTTGAAAAAATAGACGCCATAGAATAGTCAGAATTAATCTAAAATAACTAAAGAAATCTGTTATTAATTTTGAAATTTTTGCCGAGGAGACTTTAGTCATGCAAAAACATAAAATACCGCCAAATACTTTCATACCTTCAAAAATGAGAAAAATTATAATACTGTTTTGGCCATATCGCCCAGCCATAGGAGAGCGAAAGCAAGAGAAGGGGGTAAATAAAAACAATGTGAGGCTCCACAAAGCTGGGGCTTGTGAGGGATATCATCTAACCACCACAGTACAGCACACAGAGTGAATAAGAGCACTGAACAAAGCACAGGCATTGCAAATGACAAGCCCTAAAGACGCGCCATATGAGCTGGAAGCAAGAGAGTGGATGTTTATAAGCCAGCTGGCAAGTTTGGCTATGCCATTGGGATGCTAGCAAGGTTAACGATTTAGCCTACAAAAGCACTGGCTGTTGAACTGTAAATGGCTGCTACTGTGCAGTGCTACTGACTGACGTGGAAACCAATGATTATGTTAAAAGGTATATTCTGCTACGGTAAAACTGGGTCAGCCAAACACTTTTTATACACACCTATCAGACATATACTACTGTACACACACATGCACACGCACGCACACATGCATGCAACACACTCACCCTCACCCGGACTTCATTCCTTTTTGACAGTTTTCTCATCCCTCTTACTTAGGTTCATCCCCCTCTCTCCGTTCCATGGCCTCCACCTCCCAGGGAGTGTGCTGGAGGGGCCGTCTGCCTAGATACATTAATATTTCAGCCGCGCACACACACCACTCACACCACACACACACACACACACACACACACACACACACACACATCAGGGGATCCACAAGTTCAGCCTATGGGAGAGGATGAGCGGCTGAAAGAGTTGGAATGGGGGAGTGTGTGACGGAGGGAAGGAGAGGGAGAAAGAAGGAGTGAGAGAAGAGAGATGAAAAAGGGGGGGTGGGTGACAGGGAGTTGCAATGGAGAAGTGGAGGGGGGGTTACGAGACTGAGAGATGGAGAAGTGGAGGGGGGTTACGAGACTGAGAGATGGAGAAGTGGAGGGGGGTTACGAGACTGAGAGATGGAGAAGTGGAGGGGGGTTACGAGACTGAGAGATGGAGAAGTGGAGGGGGGGTTACGAGACTGAGAGATGGAGAAGTGGAGGGGGGGTTACGAGACTGAAAGATGGAGAAGTGGAGGGGGGGTTACGAGACTGAGAGATGGAGAAGTGGAGGGGGGGTTACGAGACTGAGAGATGGAGAAGTGGAGGGGGGGTTACGAGACTGAGAGATGGAGAAGTGGAGGGGGGGTTACGAGACTGAGAGATGGAGCGAGTGTCTCATTTCTCTTTTTCTGTAACCATGTCTGGTGAAATTGTCTCGCTTCGGTGACGGCAGTAGTCGCAGCCACTAAAGCGAGACGTTGAAATGAAAAGCAAAAGAGAGGAAGAGAAAATAAGCAAGGGAGAAAGAAAAGAAGATAAGGGGTGGAGATTTAAAAGGGTATGTGTGTATAAGAGAAATTGAAAACACAAGATGAAAATGCATTATTCAAAGAAAGAGAGAGCTAACAGCATAATGTGATCCAATACCATGTAGGAGAAAGAGGTGGAAGAGGCCCATCCGGGAAGGCAGAGGGAGTGATGGGGGAGGGAAAAGAGGGGAAGTGGTGACAGTGTGCCAGACACAGCAGGATATCCTGTATGGCTGATGATTGAGGGCTGTGGGCAGGCTTCCCCTTCCTCTCTGTGTGAACTGCAGTGTGGCCAACTTTTACCGCCTGTTAACTAGGGCGTTTGCCACAATGATGTTTGACATGGTTACGGTTGGTAGCCCTTTCCTGCAGTCAAATGACCAAATCGCCCTCTAGTGGCCTCATGGGTGGAATGTTATTAATATTTTTAATAATTTAATAATTGCAGAAAATCTGGTATTTCTATGTCAAATGGTTTTGTTATACAAATA